TGATATGGCAACGGGTCTGGGACTGCTGTGACTTACTCCATTTTGATGGAATTGTTTTGACACAGTCTATCGCAAATTCGACACTACTATTTCGGTGGTTACTGGTTCGGAAATGGTACAGGTACGGTTGTGAGATGTTGATAGTCCATGGTACAATCCTGGGTGTGACTGGGGCAACTTGCTCTACTACTGGTAACTCCTTGCCTTGATTCAGCACTGGGTGCCAAGTGAGCAGAGGGGATTCGGAAGGGGCGTGCAGGCTGGCGCGCTCGGTGTACCCTGTGCGCAAGAGCTTCAGACAGAGCAGGGAGGCCCGCTTCGTGGAGGCAAGGGATGGCTCCCCGACCAAGACGATGAAGGGGAAAGTTTCCTTGGGGGGGGGCGAGATGTAGGCAGCCCTCTTGCCTGATCTATGGGGAGATGTGTGCCCGGCGTACACCACATCTGAACGCGTGTGCAAATGAGCAGGGGGCGGGCTGGGTCAACCAACGCCGCCAACGTTCTTCATGTGGGACGAACAGGGCGGATTATTGGGGGGGAACAGAAACTGAACACGACGTACACCGCTAATCGCTCGCCTCAACAAGAGCACCCTGAACTAGGCTGTAGGGGAAGACTCCGATGTGGAGCACCCAGGGAGGCGCCCCTGGCGTACACAGTGCGTGAGCGCATCGGTCGGAGTCGAAAGGCCTCGTTCGTGGATAAGAGCGACCGTCTCCGTGCTAAGGTTCGGGGGGGGGGGACAGTCGATGGACTGAGGAGGAGACTTTGACACGACGGCGGGGAAAGTGTGCGTGGAGAACGCAGCAAGAAAGGCACCCTGTGTACTCTGCACACCGGATATATGCTCGAGCGCAAGCCTTCAGACTGCGGGGCCAACGGCAAATACTATGAGGAGAGAGCAACCAGCGGTAATCGAAGATGATAGCTAGACAAACGGATAGACCTTGAGACGGGGTGAGGGTTGACGCGAGCAGCTGTCAAACGTTTCCCTGATCAGCTGAGGTTGAGCGGCTGGTTTTGAAAAGTAGGAAAATCCGTGCCCTTGATTCTGAGATTACTTAAGTGACCAGGTATGTCAGAACATATGCGCCAGTGAACCTACACGCCTGGCCGATGAAGTGAGAGAGAGTGAGTGGGTGAGTAGACAAGTGTGGTGCAGTGAGGAGGAGAGCCATCGAATTATTTATTTATTTGTTCGTCTGCTTTTAACTGGCCGCCCCTGACTGTGCTAGTGCCCAGAAGCTTTTTACGACTGCGATGGTGACATAAAGAGCAGTCGCGTGTCTGTGAAAAAGCACCGGGAGGGTGAGAAAGCATGCATGAGAGCGGTAGTGAGTTAGCAGGCAGTACACCATTGGGAAGAGTGTTTGCGCCTGTGAGTGGGAGTGTGCGTGAGTATATAACTGAGAGAGAGAGAAGAAAGGGGCGTGGAAACGAGAGCGTGCATGAAAGGAAGCCTGTCTCTACATCAATCAAATTAATGCTTCTGGTCTCATGCCCGAACCTATTTACGATTTCCAAAGAGGGCTAAATTGGACCCACTGATAAGCCTCTGTGTGGGTGTGCCAGGGAGGCAAAAGGATGAGTGCTTAATCGTGAGTTATGTCTGACGATGCCAGATCGCCTAAGCATGCGGCTAGCTTTCAGGATGAGCTCGCATTAGAGAGGGTAATCAAGTAAGTCATACACACCCGACTCTACTTACGTCCGGGTACACTCAAACTTGCAACTAATGCCCGGTTGGTATGACGAGTCAAACTCGCATGATGGTGAAGGGGCGAGTGAAAGAGCGAATAACAATGGCGTGAGAAAAGAAGAGAGGAAAGTAGAATGAGAGAAAGAGTGTGATTCGCGTCAACAAATTGAATAACAGAGCGGCAGACCAGAAGACCACAGTTCACCTTACTTGTCTTGGCGAGTATATGAGCGGGCACGGGCTGTGGTTGAACCGAGCTTGAGAGCTGCCCGGATGGGCCGCTCCTCTTGATGAGGGAGTAAATGTGTGCGTGGGTCTGTTTGCAACGCAAGACCGACTGAGAGCGAGAGAGAGCAGGCTCGAGCGAGATCAAATAAGCCTTGATTGACTGTCGGGCTCAGCGCTGAGGCGATCGCCGCGCAGTCTCACCTCAGCCCCATTGGCAACTGTTCTCCGGGAAACCATGCTCAAGTACATTCATGGGTGGGCAATGTGGCTTGCTGCTCAGCAGAATGAGTAAATAGAAAAGTTGGAGCCGAAGTCACATGACGCTCAAATATTCATATGTGCCTATACGCTCTGAGGGGCCGTCAAACTTTTGACAACGAGCTTGCCTGGAAGAATTTCAAATTCAAACATTATAAGTTTAAATATGTGCAGAAAGAGAAAAAGAGAGACAAAAGCAGAAAGAGGGGGAAAGTGCAAGCAGAGAAAAAGGGGAGTGCGCGGGTCAACCGATAGGAGTGCGAGAAAAGGAGAGAACTATAGAAGGGAAGTGAGAGAAGGGGAGGACTCCAAAATAATACGACTGCTTAGCAGCGAGCGAGGGAGTCAACACCTGCTATTTGAATCGATGAGTCAAACCCCTCTGATGTGCGGTACATCTGTAGATGAGCCAGTGTGAATGGACTACTGATGCATCTGCTCGAACAGGGAAACGATGTATCGTTGTGAGACAGATGAAGGGAAACGAAATAAGGGAGTCAAGGAGTGAAAAGTTAACGAAGCGTGGGCGAGAGAACGTGAGGGTTTATTTGTTCACTCTTCGAAAATACATCTCCGGGCTGTCTGCGACTGATCACTGAGAATCGACCTATAGCTTTGACGTCTCTCCACCACGGATTAACCTCAATTAACGGGTGAAACATCAGATGCCAATCAGGTTCCGTCAGCGAGCCCGTACATGATATCCACAGTGGCAGAAGAGGTAAACCCCTGGTGAAAGGGCTGAAACCCGGATCAGATCTCTCCTGCTCAAGGGGGGGAATTCAAAATGATTTGACAGCTTCTCTGTCATGGTTTTCGGAGGAGCAAGACTTGAGCATAAAGGCTTGAAGCGCAGCGGTGGGTAAACACCTGAAAATGCAGTGAGTTGTTCTTTAATTATCTGAGGAACTTGTACCGAGGTTCAGTTGCTGTTTTGTGTTGTGCTGTGAAAAGCCGCTGTTACACCATCCCCCTGACTGTACTATTTCCCCTGTCGATCTCTATATTAGCCAGATTCCGAATTCATCTCTTCAAACTCAAGATCCACCAGGGAAACGCTTGCATAGGCTCTGAGCCCGGTCTCAGACCTACAAACTTGAACAGTTTTGGAGCATTTTACTTTATCTTTCATTCTTCTCCTTCGCTTCTTCCAACTCTCGTTCGAGTGACAGGCGACGCAAACCCCGACACCCTGCTGGTCGCTGACCGGGTCATGTGGATTTGATCCGTAGGTCTATTGTTTAGAAGTCTTAAGGTCGTCTGTAGGTGTCCCGAAAAGGCAAGTTCACAGTTGACCTTTCGAAAGGTCAACTGCCATATGCCCTCTGAAAGGTCAGTAGGTCGTGGCTAGGCTAGGTCTCAAAGAGTCAACTTGACCACTCGAAGTCTGCAAAGGCGGCCCGTCAAATCTCTGAAAGGTCAAGAGTCCCAAGTCAACCCCGAAGGGGCACATGAAAAGGCAGTCCCAGTCCAGTCCGTTTTGCAGCAAGTACCAGAGTGGGACTGCACATCTTGAGGGCCTGGGACACCGGGCAGGCCCCGACCACCAAACGAAACAGTATAAATAAAGAGGCAGCGATCAATCATGGACTCATTCTGAGACAAACAACGCGGAAGCGCTGCTTGAGTGACTTATGCGTTGAGTCACAGGTGGTCAGCAGGAGAGCCCGGGTTGAAGAGGGCAAGCGGCTATAGCCGCGAAGAGGAGGAAGACAACGGCGGCCATAGCCGCCCGTGTGTAGAAGATAGAAGATAGAAGATAGTGTGTGTGAGTGCAGACATTCAGGGTAGATCCAAGTGTTGTGTGCGTATGTGCGTGTGAGTGTGTCTGATGGTGGATACAGTGTCCGGGTGGGAATTTCAGACTGGCGCTCAGACGCCACAGCCGCAAGATGTGACAAGTTGTCTTGAGCCGGGTTCCTGGGCGAAGGCCATATCCCTGAGTTTTCTGTGTGGGCGCACTGCGCCATCTCAAGCTTGTTGCTGATTCTGCTTTGAGGAAGTTGTTTTGCCATTGGCATCTGCATGTATGCATGTTGGACGTGAAATCAAAACGATTCTGAATGCACTTTGGTTTGACTTGGTCCCGGTACCACATGCCCGCGACCTGTTTGTTTCAGAATGCTGAGGCCTGGTACTTTCCCGGATTGTCATTGGTGTGCTGCTGCTTGGGTCTGTGAGTCACGACCCTTCGCCTGTCGGACATGACTTTTGACTGTGGGATGTGACTCTTGCCTCTGGGACACGACTTTTGTCTGGAGAAGTGTCCTTTGCCTGTGAGATATGACCTTTCAATATGAGGCGTGACTTTTGCTTATGGAATGCAACTTTTGCGTCTGGGATGTGACTGTTCACCCGGTGCCTGTTGAACTTGACTCCTACGGTACCCAACTGTGACTTTTCTGAACTGGCCGACTTGGCCTCTTTTGCCCTGAGACTTTGACCCAGGGATTCAAATTTGGGGTCTGCATCGGGGAATGCCTTTCAATAGGTAGAACCAAAGTCTTCTGACTCTGTCCCAAACACTGTTTGAACTTAGAAGTGTTCTCACTGTTTCAGAAAGAGAATGGAGGCAAGTTCCTCCCTGTCCCCCCCCCACCGAAAAAAAAAGAACAAAAAGGGGTGAGGAGAGAGAGAGAGAGAGAGAGAGAGAGAGAGAGAGAGAGAGAGAGAGAGAGAGAGAGAGAGAGAGTCTAGTGATCTGTTTTATTTATTTATTTAAGTGATCTGCTTGTTTTCGTTGTTTTGCAGCTTTTGCTATTATTATTTGATATCGGTACAATTTTTATTGTTTTTTTGTTCCGTCTGTAATCAGTCTGTACAGAGGGATTCCACCACGCAAAAGTATTCCAGAAGGGGAGGGGTTTGATTCCCTACTGACGTGTAGTGTGTTGTCGTCTGCTACTCAAAATGGGTCACTCGGCTATGTCAGACAAAGGTATGGTTGGGCTCTTTTCTTACTAATTGCTTCCTTCGCGCTTTCCTTTTCTGGCAAATGACAAATTTGGACACAGCATTGCTCAGGCTTGCTTAGGAAAAGCAAAATTTCAAAATTTTAGATGTGTGCGATCAGAATCATATATGGTGCAGGTCTGGTGCAATGTCCAAAATTCTTCTTCTTCTTCGTCTTCTTCTTCTTCTTCTTCTTTGTCGTCTTTTTGCTCATGTTATGTCTGTGTAGGCACTGTTTTGCTCATTTTCCGAACATGGACGTGTACATTGCGTAGTGCTCGGCCTTGCTATTTAAATTTCATATCTGTTTTTTTTTTTTTTTTTTTTTTTTTTTAAGGGTGAATATCTAGAGATATCATTGTGGAACTGACCGGCCCCAGGCAATTCAGAAATTCATTCAAGTAGTTCATCTGGATTTGAACGCGCGTTTGTATTTCACCAGTTCATCGGGTCCCTTCTAAATGGGCCCATAAGTATATGCGCTTCTCTGTGCGCAGCAGATGTTGACATGGGTTGACGAGGGTAAGGTACGGAGCATGTGGTTTAGGGTTTAGGGTTGACGTTTTCTAGGGTTGAGGGTTTCTAGGGTTTAGGCCCTTTAGGGTATGGTTGTTAACCGGACGACCGGATCCCGATCCAGACAGTCCAGGTCNGGACGACCGGATCCCGATCCAGACAGTCCAGGTCCTGTCTCTTATACACATCTAGATGTGTATAAGAGACAGCACACGCACACACACACACACACACACAATTTGTGAAGGAAATAAGAGAGAGAATCTGGGGTCTTTTAAGACAACACACACTCTGCTGTGCGTTGTGTCGTCACACAGGTACAGTTCGGTTGGCATGTACACGACATAGCCTCTGCTCCTAACACTATCAAGGGATGGTCACTGACAGCCTCTTCCTCGAAAACTGTGATCCCTTGTCTTGTGCTCATACCCCCAACCCACTCATTACTTGCCCACCATGCCGCTGTGGCGTTAATCTGCGATGTCTAAATAACTGTGCATGCCAGCCTTCCATACTAATGACATGTCAGCAACATGCCATGTGTCGTCAATGTTTCCAGGAAGCTGTCATAGAAAGTACGTGTCTTTACTGCGTGGACTATCCCCGGTGCCATCATCCTCCACATCCTCTCCTAGCTTGTCCCACATGCAGTGTTGGTCATACACCTACGACAACCGCGGACGGATCTCCCTCTTCCTTGCCAATGAACGAAACACAGAGCAGCCCGAGGAGGAAAATAGACTTCGATATGAAGCACCTGCGGAGCGATGTGTTGATAGTTTATCACCACCAGGGCGAGCTGTTGTGGACCAAATCCTGCAGCAGCTGAACGCCCTTGCTTTGGCGCGATCCTCCCTGTCGCCGTCTGCTCATAGACAAGGATTGAATACTGAGGAAACCCAAGAAAGATGCTCCATGCCGCTTTGTGATGCCCTGCCGGTGATCCAACTAGCATGTGGTTCGCATGCCTTGTGCCATGAGGATTATGAAGGGATAGTCCATGCAAGTTTTTGCTTCCGTACGTACAGCGACAGTCAGTACTGTACTCATGTACGGCACCCTGGCATGTCATGTCCAATTTGTAGACAGGGGGCTGGAACGGCAATGCCTCTATAATTGTGGTCGACGTGCCTCTGTGTTCCTAGCATGTAGGAGGCACGTAGCCTGTGACATCTGTCTGCGCCGCGCCATTCGATGCAGCACTTGTGACTGCAAAAATTGGATGTGGTGCTTTCATAGTCGACACCCGAACTGGTCCTATCCGGTCTGTAGGGGTGGCCATTTACCATAGGCAATAACTGCTCCTCAACCAAAAAATAATCTTTTGCAACCCTGTGCCATTCTAGAGTAGTCTGTTCCAGCGGTGAGTGTTTAGAATTCTGCGAAGTTGACACCTCTCCCCTGCCCTTTGCATGTCATACTCTATCCTGCCCTTCACATGTTTCTTTCCTGCCCTTTACCCTCCACCTCCCCCTACCCCACACTTCTATAGAACTCCGCCTTCTATCCCTTTCCCTCCACCTCCCCTCCACCTCCCCTCCACCCTCCCCTTTTGTGCTAATAGCAAATACATACGAATGAGTATCGTTGAGAGAACAGACGATATGAAGATCGGAAGTGAAATGAATGGAAGTATGAAGATGAAGGACAGTCACAAAGACTAAGAAGTATGAGCTGAAGATCTGAAGTGAAATGAACAGTAGTATGAAGATCTGGAGAGAAATGCACAGGAGCATACCTATTTCCTTTCCTTTTACTCTGCCTCCTGTTATAACGTGCAAGTGGGCCATTAAGGCACACGGGGATGTTGGCAGCTGCCGCTCAACCACCATCAGCGTGGGCAGCTGCCGCTCAACCACCATCAACATGGGCAGCCTTGTATGTGTGAGGCATAGTAAAAGAGGAGCTGTTGCCCCGAAGAAACCCCATCTAAACACAGTTCTAAACACTTCTATTATGATTCATGTTGCTTGCTAAAGAGGTGAAATTCTTTAATTGTTGAGCTGGCTCAACTCATATCCATTCATATGGATGGAATAGGGGCTGTTGTGGTGCAATTTAAAAAAAACACTCTGCTGTAGCTGCAGACGCTGCTGCAGCAGCTTCTGCAGCTACAGCAGTGTGTTGTCATATTTGCTATACACCATGGTTGCATCCCTG